CCCCTTTTCCCATTTTTAATCGGGTTATCTTTTTGTTGTTGATTTCTAAGAGTTCTTTATATATTCTGGCTGTGACCCTTTTCAGATATATGATTTGCAGATATTTTCTTTCATTCTGTTGGTGTGTCTTCAATTTTTTGATGGTGTCCTTTAACACAAAAGTTGCTTTTTTTTTTTTTTTTTGATGGAGTCCAATTTACCTTTGGTTGCTGTGCTTTAGGTGTTAGAGCCACGACACCATTGTGCAATCCAAGGTTACACAGGTCTGATGAATAATAAGGTCTGATGAATAATAATAAATGATTAAAGAAGAATTAACACAACTCCTTTTCAAACGCTCCCAGAAAACAGAAAATGAGGAAACACTTCCAATGAGGCCAGCATTATTCTGATACCAAAGCCAGACAAAGACATCACAAGAAAAGAAAAACCACGGCAGTATCCCTTATATAATTGTGGATACAAAGATACTCAACAAAATACTAAAAACTGAATCCAACAGCTCACTATAGGTGTTAACACATCATGACCAGGTAGGACTTAACCTCAGGAATGCCAGGGTGGTGCAACATAAGAAAATCCCTGTAATACACTCCATTAATAGAATAAAAGGAAAGAAAAAACACCTAATCATCTCAATAGATGTGGGGAAAGCACTTGAGAGGGTTCAAGACCTTTTCATGACAAAGCATTCAGCTAGGAATAGACAGAACTTCTAAACATTATGATAAAAATCTTGACAAAAAGCCACAGCTCCCATCATGCTGAACTGGAAAAAGCAGTATCTGCATGCAATGGAATATTATTCAGCCATGAAAAGGAAAGGACTGGTGATAACACGCTACAACTTAAATGAACCTTGAAAACCTGCCGAGTAAGTGAAAGAAGTCAGACACAGAAGGTCACATATTGTATGAGTCCCTTTATATGCTGTACCCAGAATAGGGATTCACAGATCAAGAAAGCAGATTCATGGTTGCCAGGGGCTGGGGGAGTGAGGAGTGATTACTTAGGAGTATGGTGTGTTTTTCTGAGGTGATAACAAAGTTGTGTTTTTTTTGTTCTTGGGCTTGATTGGTTGATTTTTTTTTTTTTTAAAGATTTATCCATCTATTAGTGCATGTGCACAAGTCGGGGGGAGGGTAGAGGGAGAGATGAGACAATCCCAGGCAGACTCCCTGCTGAGCACAGAGCTGATCACAGGGCTCAATCCAACAGCCTCAAGATCACAACCCAAGCTGAAACGACGAGTCAGGTGCTCAACGGACTGAGCCACCCAGGTGCCCCGAGGTGATAACAAAGTTTTAAAACTAAGAGTGATAGTTGCACAACATTGTGAATATGCTAAATACCACTGTACACTTGAGAATTGTTGCTGGGTAAATTTCACCTCGATTAAAAATAAATGAAGGAATTTAAAAAACCCACTAACCTAGAGTTGAACCCCCAGAACCATCCAGGGAGTCTAGTTGCAAATAGGCCAAAGTTTCTGAGAAAGCCTGTTCACAGCAAGTATCCTGTGAGCGGAGTGGAGGTGGGTGCTGCCGTGGGAGCACACCCTCCCTGGGAAGCCTGCAGTACAGAGTGCTAGCATGAACCAGTGAGCTCAGGGAGTTGCAGGAACCCGGCGGTATTTGGGTCTTTATAACCCTGCAACAGGTCATGATGCTGGTGGGACAGGCCAGGGCCTGGGTCCACCAGCTCTCCCGTGATTACAGCAGGGTCGGCAGCATGAGCGATGATCCTATGCGTTAAGCGGACTGTGCCCATGTGAGGAGAAAATGCTGTGGTTGCTGGATAGTAGAACTCCTGGTTGACCGCCTCTCTTGGCACTTTGAGTAGGTGATCCTCCTGCTTCTGGCCTCTGTGGTTTCTGATGAGAGGTCACCTGTTAATCTCATCGAACCTCCCTTTTATGTGATGACTTATTTTTCTGTTTCAAGATTCTCTTTTTGTCTTTGGATTTGAACAGTCTGATTAGGATATGCCTGGTGTGCATCTGTTTGAGTCTTCCTGCTTGGAGTTCATTGAGCTTCTTAGAAGTATAGGTTTATTACATTTTCATCAAATTTGTTTTCAACCAATATTTCTTCAAATACTCTTCCTGCCTCTTTCTCTCTCACCCTCTGTTACCCCCATGGTGCACAGTGACGCATGCATCTCTCTAATCCTCTTTATTTTTGTTCATTTGTTTGCTTTCTGTTCCTCAGGTTAGATAATCTCTTTTGACATATCTTCAAGTTCACAGATTCTTTCATGTGCCTGCTCACATCTGCTGTTGTGCCCTCTAATGAATGTTTTATTTCAGTTGTACTCTCAACTCTAGAATATCTCTTTCATTTTTTTCTATAATTTCTGTCCCTTCATGTGTAATCTCTATTTGGTATTGATCTTATACTTTAATTCTGTAGATGTGGTTTCCTTTAGCTCTTTGAACGTGTTTAGAATAATTGATTTAAAGTCTTTGGGGAAAAACAATAAAGTCTTTGATAAGTCCAGTATTTGGGCTTACTTAGGCACAGTTTCCATTTTACCTCTTTTAAATGAGCCATAATGTCTTTACTTGCACATCTTATTTTTTTCTGAAAACTAGACATGTTGAATAATACAACGTGGCAACGCTGAAATCAGATTCCACACCCCTCCCCCAGATATCTTGTTGCTTTTTGTTGTTGAGCGTTTGTTTAGTGACTTTTCTGAACTAAGTCTATAGTTTGTTTTCTTTGTTCTGTTTGCCATTGAAGTTTCTCCTCAGGTAGCTTAGTGGTTAGCTAATGACTGGACAGAGATTTCTTTAAGTATCCAGAACCAATTGGTCTCCCATCTTTGCCAGAGAACTCTGTGCAGGTTGGGCCTCACCTTCAACACTCAGCTGGGCAGTTTATATCTCTGCTTTGGTTTTCACTTCCTGCTTGCACAGAGCCTCAAGGTTGTTTAGAGGTGAGAGTTTCAAGCCTTCTCCAGTCTTTAATGAGCACATGCACAGCCCTACACATGTGCATGGCCTTCTAGATTCCCAGGCATATATTGGAATTTTCAAAGTCCCTATGAACATTTCATTCCCCAGTTTTTCCTTTTAAGGTCTTTGCTTTGGTTAGCCTATTGATTTCCCAAACTGTTATCCACCACCTTAATGCAGCCACCAGCTTAAAAAATTGCCTCTAGGGAATGCCTGGGTGGCTTAGTGGGTTGGGCATCTGCCTTCGGCTCGGGTCATGATCCCAGGATCCTGGGATCGAGTCCTGCATCGGGCTCCCTGCTCAGCGGGGAGCCTGCTTCTCCCTCTGACTGCAGCTCCCACAGCTTGTGCTTTCTCGCTTACAAATAAATAAATAAAATCTTTTCTAAAAAATTGCCTCCAATTGTTTTGTGACAAACAGCCCCAGGTAAAAAGCTGTTTACATTAGGTGAGCTCCTAGTTGCGACAAATAAAGGCAGGCTTGCAATGGAGTCTTCCTAGGAACAACCAGTCAAGTGAAATAATCACAGTTTTCTGGGAATGAGGCTTTGAAGGAACTCCAACCCTGTTCAGTTCTTTCCAGTAACTGCTAGGCTATTGGTTTTCAAGGCAGCAATGGAGCTGGAGAAGGTACCCCAGGGGTGGGGCATAGAAAAGGGTAAGTTAAAAACATCACAGAGCTTGCCATTCTTAAGAAGATGTTGTTTGTTTGTTTTTAATTTGTTTTACATAAATGCTCCTGGATTGCTGTAAACCTTTGGTTAAGAATTCTGAAAAAAATAGTTGATTCTGACTATATTTTTGCCGGTTTTCTCATTACTTTTATGAAGGAGGGAATTTTTGGAAGTCCCTGCTCCACCAATTGCTTGGACATCACTGTCTATTGCTTTTTATAACACATTTAGAGCTTGTCTGAGGCTGATGTCATACCACTATTGTACAACACACAGTAAAGAGAAAGTGAGAGATAGAAGTACTTATTCTAGAACAGCACACTGCAAGGTGAAGTTAAGAAACCATGGGCAGTGCTTCTCCAGCTCTCTGTGGCAAAGGACCAATTTGTTTGTTTGTTAATCTAATACATCATGGTATGTTGTCCTACTTCATGTGATTAGTTCACATACAACTTGCCATGCAAGTTCAGCAACCCAGAGCTGGTCTCTCTACCCTGTTCAACAAGCCTCGTCTGCTGAGCACACTCCTGGAGGTCCAGGCAATGTCAAATTTTTGTAAAAGTTTCTAAATGCTCTGACATGCTCCTTAAAACATCTTTTCTTGCATAATAAAATCAAATCAAATAAAAAAGAAAAACTTCTCATTTCTGCGAAGAACAAGTAGCTTCCAGCAAGATAAATAAGCAATGCCTCTTCTTTACGAATCATTCCCTTTTTAAAAATCCAGAATGTTAAGCTAAATGCCGCTTAAACATATGTTTAACTTTATGGTGCTGACTCCTAATAGCAGGAAGGAGAGGCCAGGCGTTCTTGGCCACTGCCACCAATCAGGCCTGATAAGGCTCTGGGGAAAGATCCAGTAGTGGCTTCCACAGCCAATAAGCAGTGGACTCAGTTACTACTTGACCTGATTCTGTGACTGTCCAGCTCAAATGCTTCTCTCAAGTCCCTTTCAGAATGTGAAGCGTCTCAAACTGCCTGAGCCTGCCCAGCTACACTCTCAATCAGGTCGGTCCATGATCTTCCCTGACGCCTATAAGAACATTTCAAGGAAAACCCAAAGAACATGTGAGCCAAATTATGTTCCTCCCTTGGGATGTTCTGGAAGCACTGAGGTGTCTGAAAGCTATATATAGTGTCTGGGAAAATAACCATTTATGAAATGTAGCACAGACTCTAACAATTCTTCCGGAGCTCCTTGCTGATGTGAGAAATCTTAACGTGAGGGCAGCACAACGGATCAATCACGGGGACCTCCTGACCCCCAGGAGCTGCCAACATGCAGGTCCCCTGCCCCTGCAGAGGGGACACTCGGGACACAGGCAATGTTTCCATCCAAACAGGAAAAAATCCAGGGCTCAGTGTACACATTTCACAGCTTTTTATTGAGAATCAGGAAGAGTCCGCTGGAGGCGGACGTGCTCACTGTCCCAGTTTGCCCAGGCCTTCTGCTGCATGGGTGACAGCATTTGTGACTGTGTTGGTCACCGTCTCAGTGACTTCCTTCACCATATTGTCCCCTGTATCATGGGCCTTCTTTAAGGCATCGGCAATGGCTGTCAGGAAGAAAGAGGAATAATGTCCTGTGAGCTAAGTAAAAAATTTCCAGCGGGTGGGGCCCGTGTCACAGAGAGTAGCCCGTGGGCTGTGGTGGTCCTACTGGATCGTGCCCTGGAGGAGCCCCGAGGGGACACAGGGCAGCGGGGCTCCTGGAGGAGTGCATTCAAGGGTGGTTTTATTTCCCTCCACAGCTTGCGTTTCTGCAATTGTGAGTGAAATAACATTGGCTCCACTCAAGGAAAGAGGTCCTTTTACATCGCTATACTACAGCACCCGCACACGCATAAAAATATTTATGTAAATGTATATTTATATAAAGAGAGAATTTTATGTCTAAAATGTCCTTTTGTCCGAGCCTGGTGCCACATAATCGTTTGTGACACCATCTTAACATCCCACAGAAAGGACTGTCTGGATGGATCTTGCTTTAGCAAAGTGCCGTCTGTGGTCTCAGATGAGTGTTGATAATTGCATACCTCCTAAAAGGATGCAACATCAAGGTCAGGGTTTGACCTGGTTAGGCAAAGAACGGCCGCTCCCAGCATCTAGCTTCTCTCCCTCCCTCCTTCCCTGGCCCCAACCTCAGCCATACCTTTCTCTCCAGCCTCCTTGGCGTGCTCCACCACCTCCTTGACCACCCCTTCCACAGCATGAACTGCAAAGATGAGAAGCCCAGAGTGAGAGCACAGTGCAAGCCAGCTTCTCATCAAGGCGGGGCCCAGACAGCTCTGGATAAATCCTGGACACCACCCCAGGCAGGACGAGGCAGCTCATGAGAAGGAGCCCCAGCTGGCTTACTTCAGAGACTCCCGTGGGGCCTGGCTGCTGAGAGACAAGCTGAGTGAGCCAGACAAGGGCACAGGGTTCTCCATGCCCCTCGGCCTGGCCTGGCGAGGCCTGAAATGCAGACAAGCAGGCCCTCCGCAAGGCGGGCCAGATCCGGGCACCTCTCAGGTGTGCTGCTGGCCTGCCTCAGCCCGATGGGGGCTGCAGCAGGTGGCCAAGTCCCAAAACCTCCTACAGCAAAACCTAGGCCCCAGAGCGATCCCCCCAACAGGAGGGAACTCTCTGACCACCTTGGAGTTGTCTGAAGTTTGGGTGGCAGTGGCTAGAACCGGAAGATTCTGGAGTCAGAAGAATTGATTCTGATTCTACCTCCACTCTGTGCTGCTTGGTTCCCTCACCTGTGGACTGGGGATGAGACAGAGCTCAGGGCCAGTGGAAGGTGAAAGAGGGCAGGGAACACCAGCCGCAGGTTAACCGATGACAGACAGACATGTTTGCGGCAGCCAGCCAGGCAGAACCACAGCAGCTAACTCGGACACGAGCTGGGTTTCACAAAATGCCTGGTGGGACCTGGACTAGCCTCCCGCATACAGTTGCGGGTGTCTGCACACAAAAAAGGGTTTCTGAGGACTTTGAAGAAATTCAAAATGTCCTTTGGATAAACCCAGTGGGGGGGGGGGGGGGCTGCTGACTTTGAACAGAATGAGACTTGGTGGTTTCTTAGTGAAGAAATCTTTGAAGCTCTGAAGTGATGGTAAAAATAAAAATCCATTTTTCCTTTTTCTGTAGAGGATATTCAGAATAGGCTGTTTTGATACAGGAGGGCTCCCGGGTTTCCAGAGGGAAGGATTCTAGCCACCCAAGGCTCACCCAAGCACCTGGGCTCTCCTCCTGCCCCCAGGGGCCTCCTCAGAGCTGGAGTCCCTCCTGCCTTCAGTCACAGACCCCAGAAATGGGTGTGACCCAGAGAGGCCTGTTTGGGGCACTGGACCCCTCATGACTCCACCCAAGCTGCCCTCCTCAGCTTCCATACCCCTCACTTCCATTCTGTCCTTGTGGGGCTGATTGGCCAGGGTTCCTCAAGAGGCCAAGGCCTACCTCCAATCCGCTGGGATCAGCTTCCAACAGGCCCCACTGAGTCTGCCCCCAGCCCCCCAGCCTCCCAGCCTTAGGACAAGGGCCCAGCTGGAAAGGAGCCTTGGGGTCCTTACCAGCTTCCTCGGTGGCCTTCTCGGTGCGGTGGGCCAGGCCCTCGGCAGCAAGTTTCCCCAGGCCTCCCAGCATCGTGTGGTGACAGGTGGCAAGCAAGCAGGATGCTGGGGCCTGGAGCAGCGTCCTTTTATAGATGCCTCGGATGCCTGCCTGGGCTCTGGAGCACCGGCCCCCGCCTCAGCCAAGTAGGAGATCAGGTGATGAGTCAGCATAGGCGGCGGCAGGAGGAAGAGGTTAGGTGGGGCCGACCCAGTGCTGTGATTCCAGCCTTGCCCCTCTGGCGGTATGAGACCCCCACACCCCATATTCTGGACCCGGTGAGGGTCAGGGACTGGACAGAGAAGTCAGCTCTGGGACGTGGCCCTCCCCCAAAGCAGGAGGCCTGACGGCCCTGTGGGATAAGAGGCAATTGGGGAGCCCTGCCAGCCCCCTGGGCTTCAAGCTCCCCACAGCCCGGACACGAGTGCAGCTGTGTCCCCCCCAGCCTGCTGTTCAGGATCCCCAGGGGGGCTAGTTAGGTAGGGGCTTAAGGGTCTGGGGGTCTGGGGACCTGGATGGCCCCTCAGGCCAGGAACACAAGTGGAGTGGGGGCCATTGGAGCCCAGGACCTCGGCTCTGCAGCGTCTCTGCAGTTTTCACTGGAAATTTGAGGGGTGGTGACCTCATCATGGTACCTTGCCCAAGGCTGAGGAGGACACAGCATTAACCAGAAACCCAGTCACCCCTGGCTTGCAGTCAGCCGCTTCTCACTCACAGGAGCACCTGAGCACCTGGACGGCCCTGCTCAGGAGCAACCAGCCCAGGAGGGAGCCTGGCCATCGCTGCACCCTGGGGCCAGGCTTCTTGGAGAGGCCCAGTGCCCCCCAGGAGGCCCTAGAGGAGTAGATGGAGGACCCCACCACCACCAGGTATGTCTGGTGGCCCTAGCCAGAATTCCAGAAAGCCACTCCACCAGCCCCTGACACATCACATGCTTAAGGGGCCAGGTTGCCTCTCTAGTTATTCAGGATGGAGAGAGATGCCTCAAGCCACGTGCCACATGCTGCATCCCTTAGTCACTAGCCCAACCTGAGCCTCAGTTTCCTCATCTATAAGATGGGGATAGCCATGCCTTCCTGGCCATGTCACTGAGAGTCAGCGGGATCATGTGTGCAAGCTCTTGGTAAACTTGTATTCCCTCCCCTTTGTCACTGATGTGCCAGGGAGGGGCTGCTTGGCAGTGGGCCCTGACTGACCAGTGGGTGGGCCAAAGAGTAGCAGGGGCAGAGCTGGGGAGCGTGACCCCACTGGCTGGGAGTCACGGAAGAAAATTCCTCCCAAGTCCCTGTTCATGCCATCCAGGCCTAGGGCAGGAGTCTGAGGCCGCCTCCCCACGTACCTGCTCTCTCAGCCCTCAGAGCTGCTCAGGAGGGGGTGGTGAGCCCTAATTAGTGGGGCCCTTACAGCCTGGGTGCTACAGGGCTGAGGCCCTCCCACACTCCTAATTGGTGTTAGGTGGCCCCAAGCTGTGGCCACCCCCCTGGGGAGGGGGGAGGGGGGCACTGTGGCAGCAGAAACTCTGGGTCACAGGGCCACAGCACCACACATATTCTCCACTGGCAGGAGCAGTCGGGTCTGAAACAATTTGGAAAGGCCCTCTTTGAGGGAAAGAATACAATACTACTACTCTTGCGAGTGTTACAGATGGCTCTGTGTGACCTTATAGACTCAGAGGAGGCTGTGAAGTGAGGGGCTCTGGAGCTTAAGTAGGTCCATAAGATTCCGTTCTCCCCTTATCACAGCCAAACACCAGTGTTCTGCTCAGGCAGCACTGCCAGGCTGGGGGGCCGGGGGGGGCGGCTACCAGGACGCAGCTGGTGGGAATTGGGCTGAGAGACCCACAGGAACTTCCCTGGACCCATCGAAGTCCCTTCCTCTGAGGTTGTGTGTGTCCTCCAGCCCCAAAGGGGTCCTCGCTATGCCTCCTCCCCGACAGGATGGTGGTGTCACTCAACACTTCTGGGATGGCTTCCAGACCCCCACAGACCCCTCCCCACCAGTGCCCATCCTAGGACACTCCTCTCTCTCTCCTCAGGAGCTCACTAGCCCCTCAATAAGCCCTTGCTAGGGCTCAGCCTCTTGACAGAACTCTGGTCCCAGTGCCAGTCCAGAGCTCAGCTCAGTACAGCCCCTGGATACGCTTTTCTTTCCTTTTTTAAATATTTTATTTATTTATTTGACAGAGAGATAGAGCCAGAGAGCACAAACAGAGGGAATGGCAGAGGCAGAGGAAGAAGCAGGCTTCCTGCTGAGCAGGAAGCCCGACGCGGGGCTCAATCCCAGGCCCCTGGGATCATGACCCGAGCCAAAGGCAGACGCCCAACCATCTGAGCCACCCAAGTGCCCCATGGATACACTTTTCTTCCACTGGCAGGCTACTGTTGCCCTTGCCACATCACCTTCCCTGCTCCTCTGTAGTGCACTGCCCTGGTATGAGCACCGTGACTCGTGACAACACATTATGGCCCCAGATCACCTGGCAAGGCTGCGTCCAAAGATCCCAAATGCCCAGCAGGGAGAAAGCAAGGGGCCTGGAGAGGCCAAGCTGCCCAGGACCAGTCTGGGGCCCCAAACCTTGGTGCTCTGGCCCAGGTCCACCCCCCTTGGTCTTCCAGCTCCAGCTGTGACCAGCTCCCTGTTGTCTCAGCCCAGCCTGTGCAAGACCCTCCTAACCAGGACTGGATGCTGGTGGGAGGGGCTGGGCTCCAGCAAGTCCTGCAGGGAACGACGTTACTCCCTGGATGAGGTTGATGCAGGTGGGAACCATCCCGTCTTGGAAGAGGCCTGGCTCACACTGGGCCCCCGTGGAGCAGCCCTTGAACACAGGCACCTATGTCAGCCTATCCTGAGTCAGAAGATCAAGTCCAGCCATTGGGGCAGGACCATCAGGCCTTCGGAGGAGCCGACTAATCCTCCAAGTGGAATTTGCTTAACAACCCAGTTTGGCAAAGGACCAACTGGGCTGTGTCACCAAGTCACGGAGAGCCAAGTTTTCAAATAACAATTTTCCAACTTAGCAATTACCAGTTCTGAAAAATAAAAATAAAGAATGTTTATTTTAAGTACTCAAATACTCGGGGCTGTCTTGTGTCTAAAGCAGGACAAGTTCTCGTGTGATCTGAACTGCGGATGTCATGAATGTCAAGTGTTATGACTGCCTGTCCTCCTTCTCCTTCATGGATTTGAGCTCCCAGTAGAGACTGAGCCCACAGAGCCTGCACACTCTGACCCCTGCCAGCCACACAGGAAAATCCAGACTCCTGGAGACGGTCTGTGGGCCAGCAAAGGAGGACTTCCTCGGCATGTCAACATTACACATCCCTAGGGGTCAGTCAGGGTTCTGGTGGAAATCAGGAGGCACATCAAAGGGGTACCTGATGCCCACAAAGCTGTGGGCAGATTTGAAAGAACCAGTAAAGGATGGCAAGGTGCCCAGGGACCAGTAATAGTGAGAGTGGTTATGTCCCTGGGCCCGGGAGGGGCAAAGGAGAGCCCACACAGACGCGGAAGAGAGCATGGCTTTAGGAGGTCATCAGACAGGATCAGCAGCAGAGGAATACGGCCACTGCCAAACAATGCCAAGCAAGGAGGGTGCAGGAGGAATAAATACCTCTCCTCTCCCTCTCTGCTCTCCCGATATCTCCCCCATTGACTGAACCTAACTGGGGCGGAGGGCGAGGGAGATGTGGTGATGCAATTCACGAGGGCAGGCTCCCAGGGTGAGGGTAAGAATGAGCAGGTGGACAGTGGATACGGATTTTCTGTAAATATGACACCACCTCAGCCTGCCAGACTGCTGGGTCTGCTGGTAATAAGGCAGCAGCTGAATTCTAAATAGTCCCATTTCTCCTTCTTGAAACCATATGGAGGAGGACAAAGGCAGCCCATCACCAACACACACACATCAAACGTAACTTCAGAGAAACTAGGAGACTGGGAAACCGGGCAAATCCAGAAGCAGGTGAGTCCAGTGGAACCAATGTGGGAAGACAGGCCAGTGCAAAAGAGTGGGGGATGGGGAGGGCCTGGTGGCAGGCATCTCAGATGTTGCCAGAAACACTCACTCCCAGGACGAGAGGACCCTCTGAATGAGAACTCTTTGGGACAGAACTCAGAACCTGAGGAAGTGAAGAAAGAAGCGGAATAAGCCCAAGGAACTGCAGGGGGATTATTCCAGAAAAGGACCACCTTCCAAGAGAGAAGACAGCCCTCGGGAAGGCAAGGGCTCAACCCCTGGAGCCCATGACTGGGAAAAGAAGGCTGCCTGTAGAACCTTCTTCTTTTTTTTTTTTTTTTTAAGATTTTATTTATTCATTTGACAGAGAGAGACACAGCGAGAGAGGGAACACAGCAGGGGGAGTGGGAGAGGGAGAAGAAGCAGGCTTCCCACGGAGCAGGGAGCCCGATGCAGGGCTTGATCCCAGGACCCTGGGATCATGACCTGAGCTGAAGGCAGATGCTTAATGACTAAGCCACCCAGGCGCCCCTGCCTGTAGAACCTTTTTGAAGTCAGTTTGGTTCTAAGAGGCAGAGGGGTCACGGCTATGAAGGCGAGTCCAACACTTGTATGAGAAAGAAGGGCAGCCTCCTGAGCAGAAGAGCCTGGGTGAATCCCCGGCCCTGACTCTCTCCATAAGAATGTTCCACTGATGCCTGGGAAATTCTACTTCAGATTTGAACTTCGGATTCCTCACAGCCTCCAATGTCATGAATACAAGGGCTTTACGATGAATAGGGTAGGTTTCTCTCCTCCAACTCAATGTTAATTAAGTTGTAAAAGTAATACAGTTTTTGTATCTTCCTCACCCCAGCCTTCCCTGATGGATGTTTTGCATCTCACACAACCACCATACATGACCAGAAGGGAGGAATTAATACTAGCATATTTAGCTAAATTAAAATTTAAATTATTTAACTAAATAAAATTATTTAATTAAATAAGAATGAGGTTTTTATTTTAACTTTCTAACTTTTTAAAAATAGAAAATGCCATACAAAAAATAGAACACAATGAATCTTCATGGACCCATTGCAATAACCCAAGGGGCCCAGCTATAG